TAAATTGCTCGTGGCTTGTGTGATCCTCATCTTGTGTTGGTTGTGCGGCACCCTATTGAGAGTTTGGCGTGTGATGCCAATTAACGCGTGAACCTCCAAGTGAGTGAATTGCCACAACAAGGACTAGCTTGCTGGTAAGCAAGTGAACCTCGGTAAAAATCATTATGTCATCATTTAATTTTGAGGTGATTGGTCTTCATTGGTATTCATCCATGTGATTGATTGGTTCACTCATCGACAAGGCGGTATAACCATCTTGCTCTCTCTCTTTATAATACCGTAAACTCGTTGTCAAGCTCTTTAGTATAGCTAGTTGTGAGAGCTTGTTAGTTTGGTTAGTATGGCTCTTTAGTTAGCATTTGAGAGCGCACTAACTTAGTATAGTGACATAGCTATTGTGTGGATAGAAACTATATAAACTAGGGTTATGGTAGGTGGCTTGCAATTTTAGTAGGCTAGCACAACACTTGTTTCGCCTTATAATTGTCTAACCGGTTTGCTAAGTGTTGTTGTAGAAATTTTTAATAGGCTATTCACCCGCCTCTAGCCATTAGGACCTTTCAAGCTTATCTAGGTAAGATATAACCAAAAGTTAGCATTCCATCATGGTGACATGATCATCATGGCACCATCTTTTCCACTACTTCAGTCGACTCCCTGATCCATCGTTGTTCCTATTATGATATACGTGGATGCAACGCATAGACGCAATTAATCCACGATAACCGCAACTCTTAAAAATATGATTACGCTCCACAAGCTAAAGAGCTAGCTTAAATGACTAACGTACTAGTCTATGTATCCACGTCGTCAAGAAGACTTTGTCTCCGGAAAAATGTTCTAGTTTTAAAATTCCAAGGTGCTTTGGCATTTAATTAATTAAATATATATTTTTGAACTAGGACTCATTTAGCCACCTTAGCAAACTAATTGTTATGGAGCTAAAAAATTATAGTGAGCACCTAATAATGTTAGTGACTTACTGTAAAAGTTTCAGAGACAACATTATCACTAATTTATCACAAAAATTCATTCAAGTTTATATCTTATAATATTAAGCTTCTCAAATTAATTATATAACTCCTGGAAATATTACAAAACTATGTGAACAAAATATAGTAGCAGATAGATCATAATTTTAGGAACCTAACAAAATTTATTTCATAATTTTTGGACATATACATGATTTTAGATTAATTACACAAACCTGGTTCTTAAATAAAAATACAAAACCATTTCTAATTCTTAAATAAAAATACAAAACCAAACTGGCCCAACGCAGCCCACACGGGGCGCGGCCCACGCGCAGAGGCGGCCCACGGCGGGGAGCCCGCGCGCACTGGTGTTATAGCGAAAACGTCCCCGAGCTTCCTACTATTCTCGCAGACTCTATTCGTCCTATTTACTCAGTCAACACTTATGCATGAAAGAACCCGAAAGAAGCCATCTTCGCATCGGGGAGGTTCCCGTGACTCCCACGCTCACCGGCGCGGCGTGGACCGGTATGGCCCCGTTACGCCGGCCAACCGGGACCTTTGCAGACCTAGCTATAAGACCGATGCTCACCTATGGGCCGACGCGCGACGATGGGCGGTGGTTGCACGAACGGAGGTGAAACAGAGCGGCTCTCCCCGACAGCGGGCAACCTGCAGCGGTGGCAACCGTGTTCTGGTAAGCCACAGCGTGCAATAGATAATAGAAGTGATAGGTAAGCATCAATGACGCACCATGATCCTACCTGTGGCGGTGGCCTTGCCGGAGACGCCTCGAGCATGTCTGGCCGCGTGCGCACGGCGAGCTCGACGGCGAACCACAGCGATACGGCCGTGTCAATGGTGTGGAGGCGGCTATAGGGCTACGACTTGGGTGTGCACGACAAAGATGGGTTCTAGGAGGGGCTAGTGGTGCGGTCAATTCGACGCGTGATGGCGAGGTTGGAGCTAGCCACGGTGAGGCGAGCTGGGCCTTAATGGCGCGGTGGCGGGAGCAAAGCTCCAAAATTGGAGCTCAGCCTGGCCATAATCAAGGCGGGGTGGGGACGACTGGAGAGGGGACGTGAGGTTGGAGTGGTGGGCGCAGCAAATTAATGGAAGACGTCCTCTCGCGTCTAGGCGCTCTAGCACGGCACAGCAGCGGCGGCAGCAGAGAGGCGGATAGGGGAGAAGCGAGCGGACAGGAGGTGGTGGGGACTTGGTCAGAGGCTCGATATGTGCGTGCTTGGTGGGACGCGATTGGCCCGACCAGGGTGGCCCACGACTAAGCTTTAGTCGACGGCCATGCGCTCGCTGCCGACGTGGCCCGCAGTGCCATAATTGGCAAGGCAACGGCGACATGGCCTCATGCGCGAAGCGTCAAGGCATGCCAGTGGCGCAGCGCAGCGATAGGCGCGCAGCGTGGTGATGCAGTGGGTAGGCGCGAGCGTGACGTGATGCGACAGCAGCGGCGGCGGCGACGGCGCGGCGCCGCAGCGCGCGGGGTAGGGCAGCGCCGCTCTGCCGGGCAAGCCACAGCAATGGCGGCTCCTCGCGGTCGAGTAAGGGCGACCAGGCCGGCCAAGCATGGCACCAACACCGCGGCCTGGTGACCGCGCTCAGCCCAGAGGGCTAGGCCGAGAACGTGCTGTGCATGGATTTTAAAAGCAGCGATTACCACTAAACCATTGCCTCTAAACCGAAATCGACTTCACCACGATCAAACTGATACATGAGGCTGCTCAGCCGAGCTAAAACACCACATCACCCTGTAACCCAATCTCTCTAAATAAATTGCTAAACTTAGCAATGTCCAACTGTACACAAGCTTGAAATTTTCTAAGTTTTTTTTGTTGAACTCTATTTCAAATTGCATTTCTAAGCTATTGAAAATATTATTAAGCAATATTACTTTTTAACAGTAAGTATTTCATTATCATCTACAAAGTTTGCACTTCCAACTTTATTTAAGTATCACACACATATTCTATAGTATTTTTGCTTAATAAAAATTGGTTTTAAACTCTACTTGATATACATGAGCTATTGCATCAACATTGATTTAACATTTTTATTGATTATTTTAGGCTACAAGAAATTTGTCAACACCTTCTATCGCATGCATTATTACATAAATACGATGCTCATGACAGATTTAGTAATTGGTTTAGGACGTAACACCGAGGGTGTTATAGCCATCACTATCACCATGATCATCATCTAGCTCCACCACTTGATGTGTACTAACCTAGCTCATGTACATCTCTAATGACAAATGTTAGTACACTTAGTGAATTAACTATTTGCTCTAGTGAACTTGTAGAGAATTTTTATAGCCTATTCACCCCCTCTAGCCATTTAGGACCTTTCAGCGACAACGCTGTGTAGATGAGGGGCAAGAGGAGACGATATGATATGTGTGCCTGCTACCACATGTCCAAAACCACCATGAAAACAACTTAGATGGCCAAATATGAACAACTTTGATTGTTGGATGGTCGAAGATTTCTTGTTTTTAAGTTTGATCAAAACCAAACTCTTGTTATAGTTTGATTTGTCAAAAATGGTTCTCTCTCAATAAAATAAGATCCACCCTTCGTTGTTTTATTTTATATTATAATTTCCAATATCTACATATTTTAATATTAGTATTTCCAACATGTGGACATGAAACAAAACTCTCTAAATAGAGTTTTAATCTACTTCCAATATGCTGAAAATGGTGCACGCTGCTCATCTTCCCTGCATCCTTGTAATTTATATATTAGGTCATCACTTTTGCTAGTGTGAACCTCGTTAATTGCGATAGAAGTTCCACTAGAATTGGCCTAACAACATTTTATATCTGGCTCTTATATCTTTTTTTATGGGTCATCTTATCTATTCTCTACAACAATAATGATAATGATAAGTAGGTGAATTCCCCACATTGGGGAAATGATGATGACGATTTCATATGTAATTTACACTACAAGTTTACATGGTTTAATAGCACTTTCAGCAATCAAAGCTGTCAAAAAGATAGAAATGGCTTGATGCAATTTGAACGATAATTAACACCAAGATCTTGAGGTCTTATTTAGTTGCACTTATATGCATTGAGATGAATTAAAATAAAAAATAACTAATTTTTACTTCAACACACGTGAATTATACGAACCCAACAATTGTACCTTTGCTTCAGGCCTTTCCTTCATCTCGAAGCACAACCTAAGACGAGGGTGCATATGCAATTCCAAATCTGTAGAGGGGAACAAAAGCATTTACCACACAAACGCTATCCGCACTGCCTTACGTTGCTGGCCCCACTCACCAGCAGGCCCCAGGCTGCGCTCCAAAAACACGTTGGGCCCACCTGCCCGTGACCCATGCCCCTTCTCCTATATATCCCACTCTCCGTGCGCGACGCCTCGGCCTCTCTCTCCGCCTCCCCCATTTCTCTTCCCCTGCGATCCGAGCCCGCACCCGCAGGGAAGACAAGGGATCACCTGGCGATCACCAGGGCGCGGCCTCGCGATCTCGGTAACCACCATTCCCTCTATAAATTCCTCGTTAGAACTCTTCAATCCTGCTGAGCTCTTGGTCGATGTGAATCCGCCTCAATCCGATCACATACGATTGGGCCCGCGGCGTTTCTGCGCGCTTTCGGCGATCGGATTGTCTGCTAGGTCCAGCGGATCTGGGGAGCTCAATTCCTTAGTTTCACTGATACGCTTCATCGATTTTGCGGGAATTTATTCGAGGAATCTGGGCGTGTTTGACCGGCTCCGCTCGATTCAGCTTCGTTACCACGCGGGTGCTCGGGAATCTCGGGGAGTTTTTCCTCGCTAGCAGCCCCTGGAATCTGATCCGTTCCCGCGGTTCGCGTGCGCCGTTGCCTCGGATCTGCGTGCTTGTGGCATCGGGTTCCGTGGATCTAGTTGCGGTGGCTTTGTTTCTGGTGTTATTATGTTAAATCATCTGCATACTCTGAGTGGATCCATGGGCTGAACCCTTTGCTTTCGTTTCCATCTCAGCGGAGGGGCAGAGATGGGGCTCACGTTCACGAAGCTGTTCAGTCGCCTCTTCGCCAAGAAGGAGATGAGGATCCTCATGGTCGGTCTCGATGCAGCTGGTAAGACCACCATCCTCTACAAGCTCAAGCTCGGCGAGATCGTCACCACCATCCCCACCATTGGTACGCCCCTCATCAACATCCGGTATCATTGCTACTGCTGACTGCTGTTACACAATGTTTATATTGTTATAACTGTCGGTCATTTTGAATGCTTGCAGTCTTTGATTTCTAGCTCCAGATTAGGCCTAGGATTTTGTACTATGCAGGTGTAATGATTTTTCCATCTTACTAAGTTGCGATTTCTAGCTCCAGTTTAGACCTAGGATTTTGTACTATGCAGGTGTAATGATTCTTCCATCTTACTAAGTTGCACGATAACTGATTACCTTGGGCTCTAGTAGGAAATTGGATCTAGGGATAATTCACAGTTGGTATGTATTTGAATTTCTATACAAATTAATATTATTTTAGAATTTGTATCCAACTTGACACAATGGCGACATGCTTCATCTCATTGGCTTTCTGAAAATTGAGTCCTGTAAGCTAACTTCTACAAGGGACATAAGCTTTGCCAGACTGATGCTAATTGAACTAGTCAGTCATCAGACTATTGTTATGTGCTGTACCTTTTTTAATGGTTGACCTCCTGAGTTCAACCTGAGGTAGTAAGTCTTCCATTAGATAACATTTTCAACATTTTATCTTGTGATGCACATTTTGGACATCTTTAAGATGGTCTTAATAGGATAGACTTATTTGGCATGCTATCATTTTGTTATCCTAATTAAGCCATTAAATAAATGGAAACTGTTTTCGGAACTAAAATTACCTATATCTGTTTTAAAAGCTTTATTATAGTCATACCAATGACCCATTTTTGGCTTTCTGAATTGCACATGAGTTTTTGAACATATTCTATATTTCGTATTGTTGTTTGTTTTGTTCAGGCGTAATATTATGCTTTTAGTTCAGCTTTATACTCAAGTAAATTTTTTAGGGGCTCTTGCATTCATACCCCTATTTTTATCGATAATGCGATTTTGCCCCTGTTTTTTTAACTTTGTGAATTTTCCCTTGCTTTTTCAAAACGAAGCACCACTTAGCCCCTATTCTGTCATCCTCCCGTAACGGTGTTAACTTTTGTACCAAAGGGCAAATATGCCCATGTGATTTTGCCCCTGGTTTTTTAGGGCTATTTGTGATTTTACCCGTAATTTGGAATAAGACACGTACATTGTATTTTGAAAAAAAATGGTTATTATATTTGGTCAATTCAGATTTAATATTGAAAAAATATTCACAATTCACATGTTGGGATAATACCAAAAATGTTAGGAGCAAAATGACAAACGAAATCATCAAGTCAAGTCCATTGTTGCATTCCGGCGAACACCTTGCCTGCAGCCTGCGCTACTTGCCAATGCCATTCAGGTGAACACCTTGCTCTCGTTGTCACTGCCGCTCCTATTCTTGCTGCTCGGTCGGGTGGTGAGACCGCGACGCCTCCTTGCACGCGGCCGCCCGACCGCTCGCCTGCCACGCCCGGCTGCGCGCCCGCTGCCGATGCCGAGGTGTCCGCTCAGCCGCGCGCCTGCTTCCCTCCACGCGCAGCGAGCCCACCTGGCCGCGGTGCCAAACCAGCCGCACCGCGAGTTCGCCCAGCCGCGCCCGCCGGCCGTGCCTCTCCCCCCGATGTCGCGCGCCCTGCCCTTCCCGAAAGCTAGAAAGCCAATAGGCATGGGTGGAGTCGTGGACTCGGTGGGGATGGGATAACTGTGATAAGGGCATTTCAGTCATTTTGTATCTGATTTATGTGTTTTATTTATTTTTAATCGTTTAATCAGTCTCTAAATACCGGGCATCCAAACCAGGGGTAAACGGCTCCTTCGTTTCAAAATAACAAGGGTAAATTCACAAAGTTGAAAAAATAGGGGTAAAATCACCATTGAACTTTTGGACAGGGGCAAAAACACCCTTTTCTCAATTTTTTATTATTTCCTGTTGTAAGAATTTGCCTTTGTGATCTGAGTATCATTTATGTTTCTTCAATTAAATTTGTTATCCTTGAAAATGCAGGATTTAACGTTGAAACTGTCGAGTACAAGAACATTAGTTTCACTGTTTGGGATGTCGGTGGTCAGGACAAGGTAAGAATTTGCCAAAAACCTTTTTTTGTTTTGTTTTGTTTATGCCGTTTTTTATACCATGCTGTTTGGTGTTTTCCTGTGCTGTATGATAATATGATATTTATCACTTGTATAATGCAGATATATCGCTGCAATCTAATGCCTTGTCTTGATAATATGTGGGATACATTTAAATTTGCATGAAAAAAAAGTACTTCAACTTCCAACTTCTTATTTGGAACCTACCTGTCCTTCATAAACATTTGCAGCTTTGTGCTATGTTACTTTTAGCCTGCATGTTCTTGTGGTCTGATGATTTCCGTGCTCTTTTACAGATCCGGCCCCTGTGGAGGCACTACTTCCAGAACACCCAGGGCCTCATTTTTGTTGTAGACAGCAACGACAGAGAGCGTGTTGTTGAGGCCAGAGATGAGCTCCACCGGATGCTGAACGAGGTAATATCGAAGTGTATTACTAGTTGCAGTTGAATGAGCTATGATTGGTGTAGTAATTATCGATGGCATATGGTTGCATTCTTTTTTTGGCCAAGATCAGTCTAATTGTTTATTAGTTTCAAATATTTTAGCCTTAAAATAATTTTTTTTCCTAAAATTACCTTGCACTGAGGAATGGGATCCTGTACCACTTTCATTTGTTTTAATTTAAGTTTAAAACACTCATGTAAATGTTTTTCATTCTTTGAAAAAGTTTAGTTCTTACGGTTTCATATATCTAGTAACATCATTTTGTTGTCTTATGCTGGCAGGACGAGCTCCGTGATGCTGTGCTTTTGGTGTTTGCAAACAAACAAGATCTGCCTAATGCCATGAACGCTGCTGAAATCACTGATAAGCTTGGCCTGCACTCCCTGCGCCAGCGGCACTGGTATGTGTCCTATCTTTCTGAGTGTGTGCTGTTCTGCACTATTTGATTGACAAAGGAATTGTGTATTGATAAGTCGCAAAAAAAAGGAATTGTGTATTGATACAGAAATAAATAGTATGTATTACAGTAATCTTGCATAAAATCAAATATTTAAACTTAAGCACCAAATATTCTGCTCAGCTTGCAATATTCAAGTGATGTATACTAGGTCTCCTTGACAACAGTATTGAATTTGAAGCCGGCTGGTTTCGGCTGATTCAATCGTGTTCTGTGAGAGAGAATAAGCTGAAATAGGCTGACTCAGCTGAAAAGTAGTTCAAGCGAACAGGCCCCCAAATCGTTAATGTGTCCATCTTTACTCACTGCAGGTACATCCAGAGCACATGTGCTACCTCTGGTGAGGGTTTGTATGAGGGGCTTGATTGGCTTTCAAACAACATCGCCAACAAGGTACTTGAACTGCATTACAGTTTGATCAATCAAATGAATATAAGCACATTGATTAAGCTTTTAAGGTGCCTGAGTCTGTAAGATAGTCATATAGCCTACTTCAATGGATTGGTGCAAACATCCACACACAACTTATTTTGCCTAAAACTGGCCAACCTGGTTTTAACAAATTTTTAAGAAAAAATAATGTATTCATTGAGTGCAGCTTGTTATCAATGTATACTAAGGTTCATTTGCTTTTGTTTGCACATTTTCTGTTAGAAATGTGAACCCAAGTTTCATGTTGCTGACCACTTGTCCTTAATTTCTGTATTAGGCTTGAAGCATCTAGGCAGGGCTTCAATCAATGGAAACACTCTGGATACCTGGGTGCAAACTGCCTCTACCATTACAGCTATAAACTATATAGTCGTGACTGTGTTAGATGTGGGGGTGTTTCTGAGAGGATAAAAGGCTCTTTTGGTCAAGGAGCTAGGTATCAGATGTTTTCGTGGTATTGTTAATTTTCCGTGCTTCTGTTTTGGTTTGTGCAAGGTATACCATGTCCGACTGTGTGCTGTGTACTCACCACTGTTCTACATTGTGATTATACTCTCGCCACCTGTCTGAGGCGTTGTACTATCTTGACCTGTCTGGCTGTCTCTTGGCATAGCAAAATGGTCGCCTAATTTGTTAGCAAATCGTTCCTCCTGCGTTTGCCGGTCCATATCTTATGATTGCTCGGTACTGTCATGAGGGTTTGTTTGTTTGGTGGCTGTGTATTGCTGCACACTTAAGTCTCAACTTTGGGCCCTTTTTCTTCGATTGAACTTGCATCCTGTATTCCTGTATCGTTGGTTGATTTTGAGCACCAAGAGGATTGTGTTACGTGATCGGATTACTGTGCCTCACAGACTTGGCTAACGAATGTCTGGCCTCGGTCCGCTCCGTGGCGATGACGGCGACCACTAGTCGGTGACCGAAGTAGAGATGGACTGGTCTTGACCACGACACATCACGGCAGCTAGCTTTGGCTCATGAACCGGGCTTCGGTTCTAAATTTGAAGTGACTTCAGTTTTATCCTTCATTATTATTTTTAACTTTGATATCTCTATAACTTGGTTGTATAACATTATCTTTGTAAATAATGGTGTGATTTACTGATTTGAGAGACCATAGCTGATCACGCATGTGATGCTTTAGAACGATAGGTGCAAGTAGTCATTGGAGGTTATTTTGATGACAATGTGGAGGGGGAGGGGGTGCTGTACCATCATGAGATTATTATGTGATCTAATGTATGTAATGGAGATTAAATAGCCAGTATCTTCATATCTCGTTAAAATTGTGTATCTTGATTTTTTTTTTTCAAATGATATCAATCAAGATCTTTTGGCACCAACAGATATCAATAGATATCCTATTTGACTTCTAATTTGTGGTGTTGTTGGAGACTAGGAGTTACCACTATTATGTGCTAGTAAGGTAGTATTTGGGAGGATTGTCCCAGCTAATGTAAATTTTTAGCAACATGGGCTTCCCACAACAGTGCCCGCTAGTCTACTCACCGCCGCTGCCTCGATCTCCCTTCTCTCCACCGGCGACCTCGCCGGTAGCATAAGTAGAGACCCGACCCCTTCACAATTTAAGTTTTTTATTGTTGGCCCTTGATTCCTTGTAATCTAGGGTTTGGTTTCCTGACAACATCGATGAGGTGATGGTGCATTGAAATGACTCAATAAGGTCTCTCTAACCTCTCCTTACCTCGATGATGTTTGCATCCTGAATTATCATTCATGCCTTTTGGTGTTTTCCAAAATAAAGCAGGGCTTAATAATTTAAAAGTATATGCACTTGACTTGAGTTATCTAGACTCTAGTGAAGGTTGTAACATATCTCTGGATTTGCTCCATCTCCATGGTCCCACCATAGCTATGAGGGCATGAGGCTTGAGACTCCTTCTATGGCTCGATCGTGACTCCACAGCTGTGACACCCTGACATTTCCAAGGCTTGAAAAAGGTTAAAATTTCTTCACTGGAATCTTGTGTTTCATACTTATGTCCGAATATGGCTTGTGTTTATGGCATGTAAACGCGTCCCGTAGAACCCCTACACGGGAGGCTCGTTGAATTTCCTATACAATTAGTCTTGATTTAAGATAAAAAAAAACCTACAATCTAATTCCGGATGTCCATGCTGCCTTAATAAATAGCTCCGGGAACAAGGGTGCCACAAGCCCAAATAACGATGGGGCAAAAAGCATGGATCCGATCTTTCGAAAAAGAGCATGGATCCTAACGGCACCATAGAGGTATCCATGTTGATGGTACAATAGCATGAATCAAATCCAAGAAGCAACAACATATGGTTCATTTGGAAGAGCGGTGCTACTGGTTACAATTGATGTTTGGTTACAATTTAGGTGCTGTGTTGGCACTGCTACTGGTTACAATTGATGTTTGGTTCAACTCTTTTTCCCCTGCAATACTGTAGTCCATTTTCAAATACTGTAGTCCATTCAAACAAATCCCGTAAATGATCCCACCATCAATTCCCCTGTAGTTCATTTTCATTTCCATTGCCATTACCATTTTGCAAACCAAGCACTTCCAATGAAAGCTAGATTTGTTTGGTTAGCTTTTGCGGAGGGAGACGTGCGGCGCGGACACTATCATGCTTCCAAAGGCTTGTATCCTAGTTCCGCTGTAAACCGATAACAACGGGGCAAAAAGCATGAACCAAACACGATCGATGCTACGGAGTACGGAGCTGCCGATTTTTTTTTATTTTTTTTTGCCTTTTTTTTAAAGTTTTTCACAAATATGTTCCTAGAGGTATGTTTTTAAAATTTGAACACTAAGCTCGGCGCCATCGTTGATGGCGCTGAGATTACACGTCTCGGCGTCAAAGGTTTTGGCGCATAGGTCGGGGGCCACGTCGGCATCAAAGTAGAGCCGGGGGGTGACATGACAGCCAGCTTGGTGCCGTGGATCTTGGTGCCGAGCTTGGTGCCGAGCTTGGCGCCAAAGATCCTGGCGTCGAGCTGGCCTTACAGGTGGGTCCGTTTTCTTCCTCTCTTCCTTCTTTCATTTTCCTCTCTTCCTTTCTCTCCGACTCTCTCTTGCACCCGACACCTCCCGTTGTCGGCGCCGCTCGTCCTCGCCATCCCCCGCCCCGACCACCGTCGCTGCTCCCGGCCGGCCATGCACCCCGCCCCGCCGACCGGTTCGGCGCCTCGTCCCGCGCAGGCCGGCACGGCCACGTCCCGCTCTCCCATCCCTAGGCGCCACGCGCCGGCCGGCCGCCCCGCCTCCCAGGCTACCTCGCCCCGCCCGCCTCGCCGCGGCCGCTGCACCTCGCCTACCCCGGCGACGACGATTTCTACAGGATGAGGTGTCCTCTAATCTATTTCTATGCTGTCGAGTTTCACCTGTCAGATAGAGTTGCACATCAATTTGGAGTGAGACAACTTTGGCCAATGGCTCCATTCTCAGCTGGCGTTGACTTACACAAGTAAGTGTTTTGCTATTTCAATTGTCTCGTGATGGTCCATTTTCATTAATTCCTATATAAGGTGAAGTAACGATGACATACGTGCACTTTTAATTTGTCGTGAAGCTTACATCAAATAGTCGCGTCATATAGCTTAGGCGTCATCGTTTTATAGCATCAATTTCATCACTAAGAAACTAACATCTTACGTGACGTACAGGTTGGATCGTCAAAAGAACAGGAATATTTTTTATTAGGAGAAGCACCACCAGTACTATATTGAACAATGAGAGCTGTTGCACGACAACGTGGACGAGAACAACGAGCCGCACATGAAACGTGAGTACAGGCGCTACAAAGCTTGGTACCAAGGTGCGACACGTTGCAGGCTGAGGCTACAATGGACAGAAAGATGACTACGCCGACATCGAGTCATCCGGCGATGAAGACACGGCTTACGACCAAACTACTCGTGTAGGAAGGCAGGTGGATACAGGACCAATCTTGGATAGAGTGGTAAGTCAATTGCCTTATTTTTCAATGTTAAGTTGCATACCAATACATTCTGCGTTTGAGGTCTCTATTTTAGTTAGTGGCATGTTCGAGTCGTAGTATCCTTATAATTAATTTAATCATGCAAAATAATCATGCCTTCAGAAGAGGACTAGATGGAGTTTGATGCATGACCAAATGGATATTGTGATGACCTGTAGGTGATGGTACAAATTCTGATGGGTTTAGTCCTAATAGTTGTTTAGTGAATTTTTCTTCTATAAAAGAAAACAAAACTTGTTGCTATCTATTGAGAAGTTAATGTAGGAGTTTTAATTAGAAGCTAGCTTTATTAAAACAAGCTTTGTTTAGAATTTTATAAGAAAAAAACAAGTTTTGTTTGTAATTTTAGAAGAAAAAAAGTTTCTAATTGTGGTTAGTTCATTACTTAATGTTTATGTTTGGTTGTGGAGGAGGCAACACACCACCACAATCTTATTGAGAACTTTATTGCAGGGCAATACCCTCAAATGCTCGGTTGAAGACATTGAGCGTTTTCGTCCAAGAGTCAAGGACGACGACATAAGTAGCTTTCTAGACGTAAGATTCAAAATATTCTTTTAAATATATTATTAATACGTTAAATTCTTTCGATTAACATAATTTTATACAACAGAGACTGTCACGTCGGCTACGTCGTGCAACTGCTCGTTGTGGTTGCAGGACAGCCACGACGTAAGACATGCACGTTCCTTCCACAAACAGAGGAGGCTTAGATTCGTCTAGCCAAGCACCTACAGGGTCCATAGGCATTGCGTACGAGGACGATGACGAGGACTAGGTGGACCAGAGACACGAGGAGCTTGGCCCGTCTCAGCTCCAAGACACTCCCTTGACTCAATCTACACAACCTTTAGGCACTAGGTGACGCCGTCCACCTGACCCTTACACTCCAGGCACCGACGCTCTTGGTCATAAGGGTAAGGGTAAGACTAGGAGGCAGTGAGGCTTTATGGTAGATGTTATTATATATTATTATAGACTTTGTGGACTTTTATTATAAACTATTGTGGACTGTATGGATTATTATTATCGACTATGAACTAATATGGACTTTAATTATGGACTGTGTGGACTATTGATATGCTTATGTATATGGTTTCAGATGAATCTGGTATATATTTGTATGTTTGAACATGTTGTATTGAGGTTAAATATTCATCTCATATTTATGTATGGATTGCATAAAAAATAGGAGAAATTTCCTAAAATTTTCTGCCTAAAGTACGTTTTAATCAACGCTATCATTTTTCGGTTTATTAAGTAATCAATTTGTTTTTCTTATGAGTAAGCATGTATGCCTCTCGTCCTACCGCATTGGTTGAGATTATCTTTTCTTTCATGCAAAAGAACCGAACATGATTATGTACCACGTTGGTTGAGATTTTCTTTTCTTTCCTTCCATTTTATGCAAAAGAACTGAA